GCCAGCTGCAGCCCCCCCGCCACCCCCCAGCAGCCAGGCCCTGCCCCCGTGCCTGCAGGCCAGCATGGCTTGCGGGGGCTGCTCAGACCCCGCCCAGAGCACAATGCAGCACTGCAGCAGGGTGGCTTTGTCCCCCAGGGCTGGGCTTATCTCGCTGCACGGGCACCTCCGCCCTGCGGGATGGGGCACGCACAGGGACCACCAGAGACCACGTGAAAGCGCAGCCACCCAAAGTGCGAGTGTGCCCTCCCCCCTGCCAGCCACACCCAGAGTGCGAGTGTGCCCTCCACCCTGCCAGCCACACCCAGAGTGCGAGTGTGCCCTTCACCCTGCCAGCCACACCCAAAGTGCAAGTGTGCCTTCCACCCTGCCCGCCACACCCAGAGTGCGAGTGTGCCCTTCACCCTGCCAGCCACACCCAGAGTGCGAGTGTGCCCTTCACCCTGCCAGCCACACCCAAAGTGCAAGTGTGCCTTCCACCCTGCCCGCCACACCCAGAGTGCGAGTGTGCCCTTCACCCTGCCAGCCACACCCAGAGTGCGAGTGTGCCCTTCACCCTGCCAGCCACACCCAAAGTGCAAGTGTGCCTTCCACCCTGCCCGCCACACCCAGAGTGCGAGTGTGCCCTTCACCCTGCCAGCCACACCCAGAGTGCGAGTGTGCCCTTCACCCTGCCAGCCACACCCAAAGTGCAAGTGTGCCTTCCACCCTGCCCGCCACACCCAGAGTGCGAGTGTGCCCTTCACCCTGCCAGCCACACCCAGAGTGCGAGTGTGCCCTTCACCCTGCCAGCCACACCCAGAGTGCGAGTGTGCCCTTCACCCTGCCAGCCACACCCAGAGTGCGAGTGTGCCCTTCACCCTGCCAGCCACACCCAGAGTGCGAGTGTGCCCTTCACCCTGCCAGCCACACCCAGAGTGCGAGTGTGCCCTTCACCCTGCCAGCCACACCCAGAGTGCGAGTGTGCCCTTCACCCTGCCAGCCACACCCAGAGTGCGAGTGTGCCCTTCACCCTGCCAGCCACACCCAGAGTGCGAGTGTGCCCTTCACCCTGCCAGCCACACCCAGAGTGCGAGTGTGCCCTTCACCCTGCCAGCCACACCCAGAGTGCGAGTGTGCCCTTCACCCTGCCAGCCACACCCAGAGTGCGAGTGTGCCCTTCACCCTGCCAGCCACACCCAGAGTGCGAGTGTGCCCTTCACCCTGCCAGCCACACCCAGAGTGCGAGTGTGCCCTTCACCCTGCCAGCCACACCCAGAGTGCGAGTGTGCCCTTCACCCTGCCAGCCACACCCAGAGTGCGAGTGTGCCCTTCACCCTGCCAGCCACACCCAGAGTGCGAGTGTGCCCTTCACCCTGCCAGCCACACCCAGAGTGCGAGTGTGCCCTTCACCCTGCCAGCCACACCCAGAGTGCGAGTGTGCCCTTCACCCTGCCAGCCACACCCAGAGTGCGAGTGTGCCCTTCACCCTGCCAGCCACACCCAGAGTGCGAGTGTGCCCTTCACCCTGCCAGCCACACCCAGAGTGCGAGTGTGCCTTCCACCCTGCCCGCCACACCCAGAGTGCGAGTGTGCCCTTCACCCTGCCAGCCACACCCAGAGTGCGAGTGTGCCCTCCTCCCTGCCAGCCACACCCAGAGTGCGAGTGTGCCTGCAGCCTGCCAGCCACACCCCACCCCTCAGCAGCCTGGGTTTTACTGCAGGGGACAACAGCGCACCTCCAGGAATGTGTGTTCTGTAGCACGCAGCCCTCCCAGACACTGCTCCATTTCCCTCAAAGGGGATAATGCTGCTTTATGAGCTCAAATAGCTGTTGAGCCACTTCCCTGAAGCCCACGGGCTTGAGGAGTCAGAAGGTGCGAGGTGAGCGACTGACGTGACAAGTAGCGAGGCGTGAAAGTCAGAAATGGCAGGAAAAATCGAGGAATGTGTGTTCTGTAGCACGCAGCCCTCCCAGACACTGCTCCATTTCCCTCAAAGGGGATAATGCTGCTTTATGAGCTCAAATAGCTGTTGAGCCACTTCCCTGAAGCCCACGGGCTTGAGGAGTCAGAAGGTGCGAGGTGAGCGACTGACGTGACAAGTAGCGAGGCGTGAAAGTCAGAAATGGCAGGAAAAATCGACACGGAGCCGTTCGTTGGTCCTCGCTCATGGCCGCAGAGCTGAGCAAAGCCGCTCGCCATGTGCGCCCGAGCGCTCGGGTCTGGGCCCTCCCCAGAGTCCAACAGCTCCTGCCCTTAGGTGCCGTGAGGCCTTTGGCCCAAATGGCTCTCGCCAGCCGCCAGCAGGCGCCCATGTCTAGTCGGGAGGACGCTCCCTGCTGGTTTTTCTCCCCAGTGTGTTCTGCTCCTGCTTGGTGACGGTTTCCTGGTCAAACAGACCAGCGCTGTCTGCCTGCGTGCGGGGGAACGGGGCCACGTTCTTCCAGGACGGCACCGCGCGGCGGGGGAGGGGTCACAGGGG